TACGAGCACGAAGTATCGTTCGACAGCCGTCGCAGCCGATACCGTTAGATTCTGAACATGGACGAGGACCCTCGTACAGCTTTCACTTGACGCCGGTCCTGCGGGTTGGAGATTCGGGAGCCCTTCAGCGAAGTCTTACACCATTGTTGAGTCCGCGACAATCTGCATCGTTTGTTTCGGCAGGCGAATCCTTCGATGAGGCCAGCGTGTTTAGAAATGTCTCGCCACCTCCGAGCAACGTTCACGGTCTTCCAGCACGCTTGTCGGAGAAAGTCTCAACCTGACACCGAACGACTCACAAGATCTCTGCAACCTGCAACGAGGACACGGCCTGTAGCACTAATGACTATGACGATTATGACTAGCATACCCGGAGCGAGTAAGAAAGAGGTGGTTTTTGCAGTTTTCTTTGATGCTTTTTCGGATGTGGAAATCGATCAAAGTGGCGGATGGCGGGGAGGTACATAATTCTCTTTTTTCTGCGGTTACCAATCAAATTCATGAGCTTTATTGGCGTTGACGTTGTGATCTCTCTGTTTGCGAACTATCGATAAAACCTATTCTAGTGAAGTCTGGCGTCGGACTGCTTTTAGTGATGGCTGTGTGCATGCCGCAAAAGCAAGGGTGCACACACGATCAGACCACAAGTTCATTCAAGCCCTTGCCTTTTCCATCGCAATCGCGGTCACTAACACGATCGAACACAACGTTACATCATATACATATTTCCAATTACGCTGTTCCTTTCTCGCCGAAGTGTACTATATACAGCGCGCTCGCGCTGCAAGGCTAAAAATACAGACGACGCCCGCGGGCGCCGCTTACCCCGCTTGGCACGTCCCCCCTGTCTTGTACGGGCGCTTCCACGCCTGTTACACGACGCGGCGAACACGCTCGAAACCCTGTCCGTCCCCTAAGCGCCCGCTCCACACGAGCTCAATTTCCAGCTCGTCGCGCTGCTGAGTGGCTGCCCTCGTCATAGGCGACTTTGTTCCAAGATAAGACACTCTTGAGCTGGCGTTGCGGCAAGGCGGGTGGTTGGACGATGGTTGGTGGGGTCGGGTTTGTGGTTGTTTCATGTGCGGCGTGTTGGCAGGCATGGGGTTTGGCGTGTAGGAGTAGGTTTGTATGCAAAGTATAAGGTCCCCGATGGGGGAGGCGTTGGGTTTAGGGCTTGTTTATGCTGTGGTACTTTACTTTTGAGGGGATTAATTGGGTGTTGCTTTACTGTTCTCTCTTTCTTCCCGTTCTTTTCCATTTGATTGCCTCGAAACTGAAAAGCTCGGTCGATTATTGCGCGCGCTTTTGGGTGCTATTTGGTACTGAGATATGTTTGCCATGATACACGTACGGCAGAGAGTGGGTGTGGTACTTGCGCTGTTGGCTTGTAAGTCATCTCTAGTAGTTCGGACTACACACGATTGATTGTCTTTGCATGCACCTTGCTAACTTGTTGCGCAGTGTTCCCAGCGCTCATATCATGCCAAAACACAACAACGAACGTCACTACCGCTTCGACCTTCTACCTCGATCGGACAGAAACACAGTTCTCTATCAACATCGCAGATGACTCGGACGATGTCTTCATCTACTACGCCAGCCCGGCGTATTCATGGGTCGGTGTTGGGTTTGGAGAGAAGATGGAAGGGAGTCTGATGTTCATCATGTACCCCAATGAAAAGAGCGATAGTACGCTTTCACGTAACCTCGAATAACGACAGCTATACTTACAAGTACCAGACGTAACAATATCCACACGCATCGGATCCAAAGCCTCGGAACCAACGTTCAACTCCTCAGTCTCCCTTACCGTCCTTCCAGGAACCAGAGTCGACGACGACATGCTTATCTTGAGAGCCCGCTGTGGCAACTGCCGCTCCTTCATCGACACCGAAGCAACAGCCCATCCCATGATCTACGCCTTCGGCCATGGACAAAACCTGCAATCCAACTCACCCTCTGCAAACCTCAAACGCCACATCCGCTACGGTCACTTCACCATGGACATGGCAACAGCGACTGGACCAGGCGGCGTGCCAGCAAAGAGCAACGCCCTGAATGGCGTAAGCATGGTGGGAGATATGACCCGAGACCACGACCGAGCGAACCTCGCACACGCAGTCATCGGATGTCTAGCGCTCTTCCTTCTTTGGCCACTCAACGTGCTGCTCGTGGCCTTCTTCAAGAACATCAAGATACACGTTGTCTTCAGCGTACTCATCATGATCTTCCTGCTCGTGAGTTATGTGTTGGGAGGAGTTACCAGTGCACAGTACAACCGCGTAAGTTATTCTTCTATCACATCCACATATTCATACTGACGTGTACACATAGTCGAAAGCTTTTAACACCCCGCACCAAATCATCGCCTTTATATCACTACTACCCCTCCTCCTGACAAGCGTCCTCCCATCCCTGAAACCGTACCTACCCCGCCTACAGAAAGCTCTCCACACACCCCTCGCTTCAGCCTCCCTCGTCCTACTCATCCTAACCGGCGGCCTTGGTCTCCATCTCTCAGGGCAAACCCGACCAATCGTCCTCATCTACACCGCCATATCCATCGCCGTCTTCCTCTTCATCTTCATCATTCAGTCCTGCATCCGGAAACGTGGATCCGCATCTTCCCGCGCTGAGAGGCGACAAAACCGCGGATCGGGCCAAGACAGCGATGAGATGGTCATGCTGGGCAAGATGGAGGAGCAAGGTATGCCGTATGGGCACAGTGCGGAGCAGAATGATAGTAGAGAGTTTGGTGCTGATGGGCAGAGGCAGCAGCAGCATGTCAGGAATACGAGTCGCACCCATTATGGCGGTGGGACAATGCCTGGTCCACAGTATTTGCTTAATATGCATCCGGGGGTGCCGGTGCAGGTTAGTCGCATGTGAGCATGGAAGGTTCTGGGGTTCATGATTGCATGATTGGCATGGCGTTTGGGATGTTGCTTGGGGTCTGTGTTGTTGAAATCAGTTCATTTTGGGGCATTTGGGAAGCGAGAGATACCATGTAGCGTTGAGCATTTTCTGGCGTTGGTCATGTTCCTCATTAGTTAGTTTAAATCATATCGTCATCGACGAGCTAAATGTGCTGCTTAGAACGTAATCTTCATCGTTATATATCCAATACAGCTTTCTCGTATCCGAGTTCAATCTTTCACAGCTTCCAAGATGTTCAGCGAGCAGCCCAGCCAGGAACCTTTGCCCGAAGATAAACCCATTCTCCGTCGTCTATATCGCCAACAGATATAACGCCCGTTTGCTTCTGGGCGTCGCTGACATCGCCAAAGACAACAGGGAGGATTTCTGGGCTTTCAACACGAATGTACTGTCCTTTGGGTCCTTTGAGCGGTCTGATTGTGATGGCAGGCCAGCAGTTCTCAAGTTTCGGGTCTTCGTAGCAGCAATCGAGCACGGCCAAGAGATCATCTTCGCTACGTGCTATTCCGCCCCAGGGATCAGTCGGTTTTCGGATGCGGAGCTTGATCTTGACGCCGCGGTTCGTACACAAGTAGTCATCTGGTAGCCTGAATTCATCGTCGAATCTGCGGTTGAGTATCCCTTTTGAAGCGGCGAATTGCCTTGGGTGACTCGCAAATACCGAGGTGGGCGTTCCAGGAGACAGCGGAAGGGGTTCTTCCCATGCGAATAGGCTTTGATCTGCGGAAAACCTCATGATGTCTTCCTGAAGCCGAACAAAAGCCTTTTTCCCTTCACCATACATTTGCGTCATGTTGATGTCGAAGATGCCCAGCAGGGAATATGCCATGTCTTCTATTCGTGTCGTGTTGCGCCCGGCCATCCAGCTCATTCGCTTTGCGATACTCTCGTCTCTCATGTCGCTTTTACCTGAAAGCACGTCTGGGTTGATACCAGTGATGCGCCCCAGTTCCACACACAAAGAGCTCTTCTTGCCAAAATATCTCCATTCTGTTCCGTAGAACCGTATCTCCTTTGGAGCTAGTAATTCTTGTAAGGTCCATCCTCGAGTAAACCATCGCGACCTGGCTAGCTGTCCTTTGTCGTCATTGGACATGAGGCTGTCAGTCCAGGCTTCGGAGCCCACATTGATATCAGCGAGATATGCGTAACACTCCGCCGCTTGTTCATACCACCGGAACATGCTGTTGATGGCTTCGCTCAGCTCTGCAGAAGAGTTCTTGTCGATGCAGCAGGTATCCACCCACACTAGCGATAAACCATCGCTCAGGGCTTGCTGACAGGCTTTCAGAATCTTCCAGTAGCCACGGCTACTTTTGAAGGTGGCATCGTCCCACAGTGACTTGTCTGTAAACTGCTGCAGAGTGACTTCGTTCTCGCCCCACGTGTGTGATAGAATGGCATACGGCGGTATCTTGGACTCGTCCATGAAGAGCCGCAGCTCAAGTGTGGTAGCGTCAATAAGTCGCATGGTGTTTTCCGGTACTGTAAGTTTAAAGATGGGACTGACAACGAGGTGACGTGTTGTCTTATGAGGCTGCGATGATTGAGCTAGGCTGATGCTGCCTAGTGAGCTCAGCTGAGGGGTTCACATTGGCAGCGCTTACGCGCATCGCTGCGAGTCTCAAGCCCATCTATACTGAATTGACAGACTGAAGGAGTGGCTAGAAACTACAGACGAAAGCCGGGTCTGTGCGTTGGTCTCCGACGATATCAGACGAACGACCGTCGGGGAAGCTCCGGTAAGCGCCCAGGAAGCAGTCACCCGGGCATACCAGAAGCCGCCGACACATCGCGCAGTAGGATGTTACATTAACATTCCGAAGCCTGAAGTATACTTTGCCTTGTCGCTAGGTTCACTGGTTGCTTTGCTTGGTTCGGCGAATGTTTCACGCGTGCGACATGTTGACAGCTAAACTTCAGGGTCCGGCCTTCACGTGACAGATGACGCGGCGACAATCGTAATGCACGGCTGAGGCACCGCCTCCTTCATCCTCCTGATACTTTCGTTCTGCAACACCTCTTCGCCTTTCAACCTTTGAATATCCTGAATACAACCCACGATGTCTCCTAGCAAGTTGGGTGTTTTCGCCCATTTGGCGCTGGCCGCCAGCGCCGTGCTCATCCCTTCGACCATGACGAACGTGGAAGACCTCGGAGACGACCACGCTTTTGAGTCTCTCGCCATCAACCCCAGCCAGCGATCCGTCGCGCTGGAGTGCCCTGGATGCGCCGTTGCGACCTTGGATGGAAAAGAGCTCAAGTGGAAGTCTGATGTTGGGAGTGCCTTCGTACGTGGTCGGCTACATGCCTCATAGCCTCGCATGCTAACAACCAACAGCGCCTGGACTTTGACGTCGGACCCCATGGCGACGCTTTAAACCTCAACAACGCCCAACTATACCCGCCATCGTTCGGCTTCCCTCCCCAGCCTTACACCCTCACACAGGTGGACCCATCTACAAAAGAGGGTCTACGTCTGCAAATCACGGGCTATGAGTTCCGCTACGACGGCGCAGAGACTATCTCAGAGGAGGGCACTGAGCTTCTTCCGATGACCTTCCAAATCACCTCGGTCGAAGGCACCACTGTCAATCCTCCTGCGCTCCAGATCAACGTGCTGAAGAACTCGGAGGGTCGCCTCATGATCGCATCCTTCAACGAAGCTGAGCGTAGCCCGGCCACACCATCAGACAAGGAGTGCAATGAGTGGCCGCTCTACTGCAAGTGGAAGAACATCATGGCCGACCGCATCGAGCAGATCAAGGACATGCGCAAGCCCAGGCCCGGCTGCCACAAGCGACCCCATGCCGGTGCCCGTCCCAACAACCCCATGGAGCATGAGGGCATGGCTGGAAAGCCCCCGCACCGCTTCCGCCCTGGCAAGCCTCACCCGCACCATCACCCTCACCACATGGGTCAACACCGTCACCACGGCTTCGCCAAGATGGCTCGTCGCGCCTTCTTCACCATCTTCGTCCCTATCCTCATCGGTATCTTCGCTGGTACCCTTACATACCTCGTCGGCATGGCTCTCGGATGTCTCATCGCTATTACCGTTGCCAAGGTCCGTGGCCAGCGCTACCAGCCGATTGTTCTGGATGAGGAGGATGTGGAAGAGGCAGAGGAGCGTGGAGAGAAGGAGGAGTACGCCGAGCTTCCAGCATACGATGCTCCCCCTGTCTACGAGGAGGCTGCCGATGAGGAGGCTGCTGTCAAGAAGACGGATGAGACAAAGTAAAGCTTACTCTAGGCCTGGAGGACGGTACAAGTGGCGAGTGGATATGGTCATGTCACGCTTCTGGTTAGATGGATAATTTGTAGCATGGCCCTCGTTTATAGTCCGTGTTGATTAGCTAGCTCTCGCAACGAATCCTTTTTGTTCATACTGACAGTGTTGATACATTACTTTGAAGTGCAAGTCTTGTTTTATTTACGTCTAACGACCTTATTGCTGCTCCATAATGGCACCCCTCTCCATGCGGATGAGCGGCCAGTAGAGAGGCCTAGGGTGCGGTGGCGCGGCATGCACAGACACGTCTTGTGCCACACGACTCATCCTGGAATGGTTTATGATAATGACTTTAGGGGACAGCCGGGTAAAGCTATTCTAGGCAGCAATGCTGATTACGTGACTCATACGTTCGCATTGGAAGGCATGCGCATGAGCAACCAGCAAGTATATCTAAAGAGTGGGACATGACCACTCAACGATAGGCTGCGACCGATATGACGCCACATTTCCGTCTGCATCTTCTCAGACAGCAGCAAGTAAGGGTATGATATAAGCCAAGTCTTGGTTCATTGAAGTATCAATATGCCGAAAGATTTGAAAGGTCTGTGACATGGCGGTGAAAGCTTCAAGTAGATGTTTCTGAGAAAAGGACAAGAAACATGATATATAGACTTTAAGGAACAAGAGCAAACAGAATAATGAAAAGAACCTTCTCCAGAACTGAACGCGTCTTTGGTAGTTGCTTGTCGCGGTGGTTGGTATAGTTCGTGCACAGCGTGAACGCGTCGTGGAGGGGTGAAGAAGGCGTGCCGTATTTGATACAAGACGCGCAAAACATTGTTCGGTATTGCAAGAGGTTCTTTATATATTCAGTCGTCTTCCGACAAATTTTGAGAGGGTGCAGCACGTTGTAGCCGCATGCAGGGCGATTATCACGATCCGACGTTGGTGTTCCAGTCGCGTCGGCACGCCGCGATTGAAGTTCCCGCACGGGCCATTTCGCCGACACCTGCATCAGCAGCCCGGCGCGCCTGCAAGCTTGGGTGGTCTTTGGAAGTGCTGCTTTCCACGCTTTTGATTTTCCCCCAGATGTGAAGGCGCAAGGCCTTTGATTTCATGTTCTGACTCGCCCCGACCGGGCCTAGCGCCACTCTGTGTGATCTGGAGGCACCCGCGCCCGCCGCCCTCGTCTATATAACCGGCCCACCCGCGTCTTTGGAGTCTTTTCTTTCTTCTCTTTTCGCAACCCCCAGCTTTCATCTTCATCCACGCCATTTACGCTGCACCAACGCGCGTAATATACCAATACCCATCACCTTCATCTCCACTAACCTTCCAACAACATGACTGGACGTAAGTACATCTGTATTCCTCTTCCATTACCCGCGCATCGACGTTGTCGTCGCTGTCGCCGCTGCTGCACATGGCGGTGAGGCGCGCTTGGTGTTGAGGCTCAACGCGTCGCCCCACTATTGCACCGCGCATCACGACACTCATACACAACCACCATGCCGTGACGGCATCTATCATTACCACAAGACAACATGCTAACATACCTCTGCAGGCGGCAAAGGTGGCAAGGGTCTTGGAAAGGGTGGCGCCAAGCGTCACCGCAAGATTCTTCGTGACAACATCCAGGGTATCACTAAGCCCGCTATCCGCCGTCTCGCGCGCCGTGGTGGTGTCAAGCGTATTTCAGCCAGTAAGCATTCCCAACCTCGTCGCCATGCCAGACAAGTCCTAACATGACCGCAGTGATCTACGAAGAGACCCGTGGTGTCCTCAAGACTTTCCTCGAGAGCGTTATCCGTGACGCCGTCACCTACACCGAGCACGCCAAGCGCAAGACCGTCACCTCCCTCGACGTCGTCTACGCCCTCAAGCGCCAGGGCCGTACCCTCTACGGTTTCGGTGGTTAAACATCTCCTCTTCTCGTCACGACACATCGGCGCCCGGCATCGACGGCCCTTGCGGCCTCTTGGTCGGGGACTGTTCGCATGGTCACACATTGTTTATGGATATGATCTGGTCACGGCTATCGGTCTTCACGGCGTTATGTTCATGGGTGGTTTGGAAATGATCAATATGAAGCTTCGATCTTCATTTGGCTAGTTCAGTCAATGCATACATATTCATGCACCTTGCTGTCCAATTGTTTTGTCTTGTGATGTTGACTCATGTTGTGCCGTCTTGACCTCGAGCACAGCTTATCGCTTGCTATACTCGACAGTATCTGACTCTAAACAAATCCCCTTCCACCTTGGCATCCTCCGACCGCCATCTCGTCAGCTTCACTAACACTTCTCCACGTTGGTCGCAGCCATAGCCAGGAGGTACGCTTGAGTAACCACATCAAGCTGGTCAAACGGCTGTCCACTCTTCGAAGCGAGTATACCTTGGCGACTGATGATCTCGTTGTACAACTTGCGATCCTCAATGTGAACATTGCCAGCCCGCAGTATGACCATCGGCACGATCTTGACCTGGTCGAGTTCAGGAACATGGACCTTTGCATAGCCTCTAGCATGACCACAATCCGGCGGCGGTACACCCACAATCACACCCTGGGCACCTGGAAATATCTCAACATCGCCAGACGGGCTCTTGTAGTAGTGTCGCACTTCGTAACCGAAACCTTCGCGTATGGGAGCAAGGTCTGGGTTGAGGTTGGAATGGGTCCAGGGCTGCAGGTCGTCTCGGACGTCTTCCCAAAAGGTGGTTTCGGCGGCGGAGGTGTCGATGAAGCGTTCTACGGCGTTTACTCTTATAGGGAACGCATGCTCGGAGGGGATGAAGGCCATGTTGATTGGGTGCGCTGTAGCTGAGATTTGTCAGTATTGAAGAGCTGAAGTGGGCACTGTGGTGGGAAGCGGAATACCTGAGTATGTCGTGAGTGCCCTTGTTGGGATTTCGAAGTAACGTTGTTGTTGCGAGGATGTAGAGATGAGCGTGGTGTATATGATACGCTGAGCGAGCAAGAGCCAAATACAGATTGGGCGCGCAGGGCAAGGTAAAGGTACCTTGAGGCGGTGTTGATACGCGCAGCACAAATCCTCTCGAGGTGAAGTAAAGGCAAAATATACTATATGAGCCTCTCTGTACACTGTCCGAGTGTCTCGTCCAGTGCAGCCTACTCGCTTCAACTGTCATTCCCTTTCTAAATCCAGCTCCCCACCGCCTCCTCCACCTCTTTACAGCATCCCGTCACCCCAAACAACCCTCCCTCAACCCTGACACTCTCCAAACTCCACCTCTTCAACTCTTCACTAACACTCTCCACGCCATCTTCCACAACCAGCACATCAAACCCCCTGTCACTTGCCTCCCGCACCGTACTACTCACACACGCATCCGTCGTGACCCCACAAACCACCAAATTCTTCACCCCCTTCGCCCTCAACATCATGTCAAGCTCTGTATGCGCAAATGCCCCTCGCCCGGGCTTATCAATAACCAGCTCTCCCTTCGTGGGCCTCAACTCTTCAACAATCTCATGCCCTTCTTCACCGCGAATCAGAAGGCGGCCTAACGGACCCGGGCTCCCTATTTCTGCGCCGTTGACCCGACTCCGATGTGCTTCTCTACTGCTGACTGTGGCTAGCGAGGGATCATGACCTTCCCGTGTGTGTACGACGGGGAAGCCTGCACGGCGGAACTTGGACAGTAAGGATGCGATGCGGGGAATCAGTGGCTCGAAACGTGATAGAGAGTAGCCTTGCGAGGAGAGGTAGCCGCCCGGGGAGAGGAAGTCGCGTTGCATGTCTATGATAACGAGGGCGGTTGTGGTGGGATGTAGGGTTGAGTTATGTGGCCACGCATACGGCGTTGTCGTGGAGATTTGAGATGCCATGGTGTTTTGATCGCAAGCTTTGTGCTACTGAGTGTATAGCAGGAACGAATTGATGTGGTGATCAGGTGATGCAGGTACGATGATGACCATGAGGGATTGAGACGGTGGGCATGTCGTTATCCATTTGTGCATACATCGCGTCGTCAAGGTTACCTACATTCACATCTCCGCGCGGCAGTGTGTTACGTTCGTGGATTTATTGTATTGTCTTGACTGATCCTATCGCGTCGGGTTGTGATAGCCGGTTATCGGGATCGGCAGGTACCTATGCATCTCGACTCCTTCCGAACTGCTTCAATCCTCACGCCACAACACCATCGCAATACTTCCTTTGTACACATGTTTGCAATCCGATAGCGAAGATTTTGTCTCGAAGGTAACCGGCCGATGGATGTTCTCAGCCGCATACATACCGCATAGCAGGCAACTCATCTCGTCTACCGTACCCCACTTCTACCAGCACCCCGGTTGCTCCTCATGCCGCTTCCGCTCCCTATCTCGACCAATCCACTCCACACGCTTGATGCGCGATAAGACATGTACGAGATGCTTGGCGGCTTCCCGAAATGGAAGCACAACCTGGGGCAGATGCTCGTTATCTGGATGACGCAGGGTTCGGCCGTTGACGGCGCCCTGTCGTTCAATGGCTGCGAGAAACGGCTTTGCGCGATACCCGGACAGGTATATGTATGCGGTTAGGTAACGCTTGAACAATCGCTTCCAGGCTGTTCGCATGTTCACAGTCTCTTGACCTTCTTTCTGTCGGTTTTGTGATAATCAAGACGGTAGAGATGGCGCACAGCCCAGAAGAGAAGAAGATCGTGGAGGAGGCCAACAGCGACGATGATGTGCTGGCGCAGCTGGGATATACCCAAGGTAAGTTCACAAAGTCATACTTGCGAACGTGCACTGATTGCGTTCACAGAGCTCAAGCGCAGCTTTGGTCTACTTGGGATGGTCGGCTTCTCGTTCAGTATTGTGACTTCATGGACCGCACTCTCCGGTGTACTCATCATTGGTGTTGAATCGGGTGGGCCGCCAGTCATGATTTGGGGCTGGCTGTGTGTCTGCCTTGTGACACTTGCTGTTGCGTACTCAATGGCTGAGATGTGTAGCGCGTATGTACACCTGTGCCTGACTATATGGCTGAGCTAACCGTCTCTAAGGTACCCTGTTGCAGGTGGGCAGTACTCTTGGGTGGCTATCCTGGCACCGACACGCTGGGCTCGCTCAATGAGTTATCTCTGTGGATGGTGTGTATTTTCAAGATGACTTTCCAATGACTTCCTGACATGAACAGGTTCATGCTGATTGGAATCATATGCATGGGCGCAGTCAACAACTTCGTCGCTACGAACTTCATTCTCGGTACCGCCCAGCTCAATTATGGCTTCACGATAGAGCGATGGCACACAGTACTCATCGCCTATCTCATCACATTCATCGCAGCGGCATCTAACATCTACCTGCCACACATCCTTAACAAGCTTTCGAAAGCGATCTTCATCTGGAATCTCACTTCCTTCGTCGTCTGTCTCGTCACCATTCTGGTCACCAACGATCACAAGCAATCGGCGAGCTACGTATTCAGCGACTTCGAGAATTTCACCGGATGGAACGCGCCATATGCTACATGCCTGGGGCTACTTCAATCAGCGTTCGGAATGTGCTGTTATGACGCACCTTCGCACATGACCGAAGAGATCAAGAATGCCCGGAAACAAGCTCCCCGCGCGATAGTCATGTCGGTTTACATTGGCTTCTTCACCGGATTCGTCTGGCTAGTCGCATTGTGCTTTTGCATTGGCGATCTCGAGGAGACGGGTGCTACCGCGACAGGAGTACCTGTCATTGCCATCATATTTAATAGCACGAACAGTGTGGCCGGAACCTCTACATTAGCATCTATGATCGCTATCATTGCCACAGTATGCGCCAACTCGCTTATGGCAGAGGGATCAAGAGCTGTATACGCGTTTGCAAGAGACAATGGGCTTCCTTTCTCGCACGTACTAAGCAAGATTTCGACAAGATCGGTGCCGGTATACGCTATTATGTTGACAGCCGTCGTACAAATGGCTTTCAACTCCATCTACTTTGGCACAACGACTGGCTTCAATACCATCATCGCCATCGCTACACAAGGTTTCTACCTTTCGTATCTAATGCCTCTACTGTCCCGCATTCTCGCCCACTTCTCCGGCAAGAAGACTCGATTGGAAGGCCCGTACTCACTCGGCCGCTGGGGCATTGTTCTCAACATTATCGGGTTTCTGTATCTGGGATTCATCTGTGTCGTGTCCAACCTACCTAGTGTCACGCCTGTGACGAGCGAGAACATGAACTACACTTCTGCGGCGACAGGAGTGGTTATGTTCATCAGCTTGATCTTTTGGATTATGACAGGAAGGAAGAAGTTCACTGGGCCTGATGATGGGAACTTGTTAGACGTGGGGAGACATGTCGCGTAGGCTTCGAGTACCCCGCTCGGTACCCTTTGTTGTCACTAATGTCTCACCTCCGATAAGATACAAATTGAGAATAGGACATCATTAATAAATTATCTTTGTTGACATGCTTGTGAGTCACTGTGACGCATAGCGCAAGGGTCGAGCCTCGCTACCGCCTGCGGTTAGCACAGTGTCCACGCACCTGCATCCAGGGACTGTTTGATGATTACGGATCGATACCACAACAACCTCACAATTCTCAAAGCTTCTGGCACGGCAACAACCTCGTCGGAAGTCGCCTCAAGCTGCCGAAATATAGAGCGCGCACCATCTACGACTAGCCCAGGCGACCAGTCTCACATCGTAGACAGACTGTTACACCATGTCGAGAAGAAAAAACGAGCGCGAAAAAGCAAGGCTCAAACGTCGACGCGAGCTTGACCAGAAAGGATACAACATCGCCAACACAATCGAATGTCGGACCCTGCGGAAAGGAGCAAGGAAACAGATCGCACGTGAACGCGCTGTAAGACTATGGATCTATCCCTGGATCATGGCTCCGACAGGCCGATTTCTACATTCGTATCCAAAAGCCAGTCTTCTCGGCCTGCCTTCCGAAATTCGCCAACAGATCATCTACGAAGCGTTTGGTATGACGGAGCTAAGACGCATGGTTGAGTACACAGAGAACAAGGGAGCTCTAGCGGCAGCTCTGACAAAAGAGAAGGCGCAAAAGCTGAAACAACGACGAGAGACAGCAATGGGTATACCCATGTCGCAGTTTGAAAGTGACTGCATCACGATGCTACATCGGCGCATTGCTGACTTCTGTTGCGTGTCGCATTTCTTACACACGGATATGGAGTATGTGGGAAAGCTATGGAAGAAAGATCTGGAGAAGTCACTCAAGTGGCAGTTCTCGGCGCCGCTGAAACTGCACAAAGCGCCTACCCAGGAAACGGTTGACGTTCCGAGACGAACAAGGGGAACAGTGGTCAAAGTGAAGGGGCCAGGCAAGCATGCTAGGCGACCCCCGAAGTGTTGGAAGTGTGAGGAAAGACATCATGATAGAGATCCAGTCTGTCCGATGGCGAGATATGATATTGAAAGATGGCGGCGACTGACGAAGAAGAAGAAGAAGAACAAGAGGGAGGACTGGATTGATACAATGCAGCCATGCTCACTATTCGTGGGGACAAAGATAGTGTTTGCCGATGACTAGGCAGTTGAGGTAGGTAGAATGAGATTTGAAATACAAGCCAGCAGGCTACCTTGTCGTTGAGGTAGTCAGAGTCAAACTTGAAGTACAAGCCGGGAGGCGGCATTTCGCTATAGTCCTTTAAAGAATGACTGTGATACTCAATGTAGTCCTCACCCATATTGTGGACTATCGCGCGCATCATGAGTGAACGCAAGTCGTCTTCACCTTCACCAGACTGGAGCTGCTCTTCCAAGACACAATAGCCGGATACAATAGCAGGAAGCTTAGGTCGTACCAGCT